TTGTATTATTATTTACTAAGCTAGCACGCAAATCTCTTTCCCTACACACCCAACATGAAATGAATTGACATTTAATGATATTCAGTTACGAGTGGGTCTCTGTTTTTTTTGTTTTTACTCAGGCGTCATAGCTTATTGAGGATTTCAATGAAAAGAATAGCTTATAGTTTATTATCTAATCAACATTTTGAAATGGATCTTGTCCTTACGCAGACGGCCATTGTCTATGAACGTCTAGTATGAGTGAAATCGCTTTCTACAACTCTGGGCATGTTATTCTTTTGAAAAGTGTTATGTTAAGCAAAATAAGCCCTAAGTTTACATATGAATAAAGAAAAAGTAAAATGAAATGTGGTATAATAATAAGAGAGCATGGTTCATAAAGAGACTAATTTTAAATAATTTACCTCCAACATATTGTAACATAGCATAACACTTGACATAAGAGGAAGTACGATAACGTTGACAGTCGTAAATAAGCATTCCATTGATACCTAGTGGTTCTGACCCATCATCAAGTAATCTTAGGGTTAGGGTTAATTTTTGTCGTAAGCAACAATCCAACATATCTCAATAATGGAGAATTAAGAAGATTGAAGAAGATTACTTCAGATTCTACAACTCCACTCCAATAATCACTCTGCCACTGGAAAATTTTCTCCGTCGTGATACACTCCTTCCCCTCCACCGTCGTAATATACTCCTCCGTCGTCATATTCAATCCTCCTTGTGGTGTGGTGGATGCTATTTTTTTTTATATATCCATCCGATGGATTTAATTATGGGCTTCTTTGTTGGGCCTTCTCAACCCGAATACCATATCTAACTATATGAAACCAAACCATACATACTACATCAATGAAATGTAATTAATTTCGGGGGTAACTTTGTTTTCTTAAAAATTGATAATATGGTTTTACTTTGAGAGAGGTAGACAATATGGTTTACAATTTAATTTTGTTTAGGATTTATTGGTATCTGTATCATGTATTTTCAGTTTAATTATAAAAGCCCAAGACTATAAAAGTTATTTGTTTTACAATTTAGATTAACTAGCTTTGATTCACAAAATATTAATCAATAAGCACTTTCAAGTTGATATAAAAAACTTTCGAAAAGAAAGAAATATTTTATCCGGTTTCAGTTTGGATAAACAATTTGATATATGCTGCATGATATTGTTCGTTTTCTTAAATTGAAACTTTGTAATCGTTTTGGTTTTGGTTTAATCAGTTTCAGTTTCGATTAACATARTTTTATTTTTGTTTGATTTGATTTGGTCAATGATTTCTAGCAAAAAAACGTTTATGCGACGATTACCACGCCCACAAAACACATTTGCATGATTTTTCAACAACAAAGAAAAACAGTTTGTCTGACTTTTACTAAATAAAATGTTTCCGCGGTTAACATGCCAAAAAAATCTTTATGCAAATTTTCAAAGTAAAAGAACATTTACGACGCCAAAAAAGAGATCGGCATATACTAATATGTCATGCATTTTT